CACGCCAGAACGGATTAACAGTAATTACATTGAACCTTATGGGAAAATTTCCTTCGGGTTGTGACCAATTCGGGGTGCAACCAGAGTCATGGAACGAATTAAATTCGTAGCCCGAGGTTCCACTGTACTCCACTGTTCCAACTCACTAGTTTTTTTTTACCTCTCCCTGAAATAGTTAACTTCAAACGTTGATAACTTTTGTCTTTGCTGCAGTGAAACCTGAAGCAGCATCAAAAGGAGAACACATTTTCTGATTATGTGTAAAATATTCAAAATATTTTACTAAACATAATCTTCTTGAGTAACTTTCATAAACAAATTCTTGTTCACATTTCTTTCTTTTAATCATATATCGTATTTATCAAGGATAGTATTTCTAATGTTATGCAAGTCTCTCTCTCTCTCTCTCTCTCCCTCCCTCCTTCTCTAGTATATATATGAGGAGAACGTTGGAATCTCTCTGTGTGATTGGTTTTAGATGTTACTAAGTAAGTGCAGTAAGCTTTATTATTCTACCTTGCTTAGAATGGATGATTAAAACTTTATATTTTAATCTGCTCTTGTGAAGGAGGCACATATGCAGGCATGCCTAGGATACAGAGACTGGGCCCCTGCTGATTCCCACATTTCTTCCCACAATCCTGCTGCACCGTGCCCACAACTTCTGGGAAGAGCCAATGTATGCTTTAAGAGGATTTACCAGGGAAAATGTAAGGGGAACCGTCCCTCCATTCAATAGCCTGATTTTGTGGGGAAGCATATGTTAAAGGCTAGCTCCCTTTCCCAGGACAAGCACCACAAGTTCACTAACAAATGTAAAACTTTGTTATATATAGCAAAGTCAGAGACCTAGAGGATAGTTGAACAGAAAAAGTAAAAGGAGAAAGAATGAATAATTGCTTCCTAAAGAGGTAGATTTCAGTCAGCTGCTCCCTCCAGTCCAGGATCTTAGACAAGCACAACCACAGAGTTTTTCACACATCTCAGTCTGCAAAATAAATGCAATCTATACTGCAACTAGTTTAACTGAACCAACCTTCTATCCACATTACCAGCTCCACCTCTGTTGCTGCTGGCTGCAGCTTTGCTGTTACTTGGCTTTCAGCCAGACTCAAAGAAGGGAGAAATAAAATGCCAAACGCAGAGGCAAAATGGAGACTGCTCTCCCCTCTTTTAAAAGCCCACACGAGAAGGGAAATCTATTCTCCTTATTAGCTCTCTGGGGTTTGGGTTTTCCCTTTCTTTAGTTTTATCCACCCATTATGTGGATTGACAGATCAGCTACTTTAATTCTTTCAGTTTATGAACATCTTGAAATGGATGTTTCTCACATTCACTAAAGCTTTAAATAATCTATTCATATTTTGCACAAAAAATCACATCTGACTTTTTATTGTTAAAGCACAAAAAAGGTATGTTGACCACATTATATAGTTTAGGGCCTATAAATGCCATAGACAATTCACAAGCTGGCCATTCCAACTTTTGAACATGTGTAAACACATGACACATTGAATATTGGGCATTATCCAGCTTGCATATGTTAGACGTACACTGGAACCATACAATACAGCTGCAGTCCATGGATTTGTGGTACTGTAGACCCAGCCTCACTTTTCATATTGGAAACTACAGAAATTTGTATAGCCTAATCATGATTATGTCAAAATGATGTCACATACCTAAAACATCCATCATGCAAATAATGCAAATTACATGAATAATGAATCAAAATGATGCTAGTACACTGACATTGTGATACATGCAGTGTCACTTGCTCCTGTGGACTCTGCCCATGTTTAACTCTCTGAATTTTAAAATAGCAGTATATAAATTCTTAGGCAAACTGGTTATGCTGTCCAAAGGCACACATAAATCTGATGGCTTATGGATGTTTGATAGAGTTCAGTGGGCTTTACTCCCAAATTAGTAGGTATAATAGCAGCCTAAGAGTAGCATGGAATAATGCTAACGGTGCTGATGCATCACAGAAATAAAAACAGCTCAGCCTAAACGTAGAAGGACAAAGGAAAGAAGAGAAGACCATAGTAGACATAAGCAATGAATTACCAAGTGGGAAGGGTGATTTCTAAATATGTTTCCTCCCTTATATATTGTGTATTTATCTAGGCAGAAGCATCCTTCCAAAATCTGTCAACCCATCACAAATGTCATGTTCCTCAAGACCCACAAAACAGCCAGCAGTACAATCCTCAACATCCTCTACCGCTTCTCAGAGAAACACAGCCTCACTGTGGCCTTACCTTACGGGAATGAGCCCCATCTTGGCTATCCTAGACACTTCCATGCATCATATGTTGAAGAATTCAAAACGCTGGGAAATAAGTTCAACATCATGGCCAACCATCTAAGGTTTAATTGGCAACAGGTAAGAGTACAGAAGTGACTTTGTATAGTTTCCATTGTTCATTCCAGCCTTTGTCTGTTGCAGGTGATGCATTCTGTAGGAGGCACTGTTGCCGTTAATCTGTGTGTCGATGCTTAATTTAGAATTTGTAGGATGGATACCAAAGTATGAGAACACTAAGGGAGATGCCAGGACCATAATAAATCTTGAAAAAGGTTTATAAAGAAATTGTCCCTGAATATACTTACTGTGTCAGAGGGATATGACCCCAAATAGCTGGGTGAGCCCAAATAGCAGGGAAGATTGCCAGAACTTAACTCATGAGGAAGCCAGGTAAAAGGGCAAATATTATAGCCCTTTTTCCCCATTCCCCTGCCCTTTGGAATGCTCACCCCGGTGCTGGGATAATTAGCAAGAAGGGAACTAATGTTTTTTATTTACATTCATTAGAGAGGAAGGAATTACAAGAGAGTAAGCAGGCACACAATGGGGAATACACATCGAAAGGAATGTGCTGCCACTGTCTATTTAAGCAATCTCTCCACTTTGTGAGGAGGGGAGGAAAAAACAGGTCAGGCACAGGACAGGCATAAAGTCCCAGACCATTTTTGTAATCTGACATAACCTCCACCCCCAGGATCGCACAGCCAAATTTCAGCAGCAAAATGCCAATTTTCAGTGACACAATTATTTAATAAAACAATTTAAGATATAAAATTAGATGTATTAAGTCTCTGGGATGATGAACAATCCTATTTCCTATTGTTGTTTTAATAAATTTCTAAAAAAAAATTCAAATATATCCACAACATTTAGTCTCATGGACTCTGGTGGTATCATCTTCCCCACAACCTCCAAAGCCTCCAGAGATCAAAAAAATAAAAAAATAAAAAAATTGCAATGTTAAAAAATGCAGACTATCCAGAAAACATCTATTTCTCCTAATATATCTGAAGGGATACTGTTTGGAAAAGCTGACTCACTTGTCCTTTAAAAATATTACCTTCCTCCACCTGTCTCACCTTCAGCATTGAGCAATACTGTTCTGGCATTTTAAGTACATTTCTGCAGAAAGTTTAGGGGATTGAGACGTGCTCATTCAGCATATGTGATTGCACACAAACTATATTGTGCTTATGGTTAAACAGCACTGATTTCTAAACCTTTTGTTCTGCAAACAGATCAAGTGCATCACATGATTCATGACCCTAACCCTAACCCCAATGTGATTCAACGTCTATGATTCTAATAATGGAGACCCCCTTTTATTTTATTAAGCAAATTTATATAGCTGCCCATCTCACCAAAAGTGACTCTGGGCAGTGTACAACAATCAGATAAAAAACAAATATAAAAACAACATGAAAAGTATAAAAACCACATTAAAAAATATCATAGAAACCAAGATACAAACCATAGGGGAGGAGAATAAAAATGGCAATGGAGCCATCTAAGCAGGTCTGTGGTTCTCTGGGAGCCCTAGGCCTGATCACGTAACCAGGTCCTGAGGTTGTTACGGAATAGCAAAATGGATGGTGCTAATCTAATCTCAGGAGGAAGGATATTCCATAGAGTGGGTGCCACAACAGAAAAGGCACGTCTCCTGGGACCACCAAATGCAGGTCCCTAGCCGATGGTACTTGCAACAAGCCTTCTCTGTAAATCTGATGGGATGGGCTGATATAATTGGGGAGAGGCAGTCCCTCAGATAGCCCAGTCCCATGCCATGATAAAACTAGTACCTTGAATTGAACCCAGAAGCAAACTGGCAGCCAGTGCAGCTTGCGGAGCAGAGGTGTAACATGTGCTGTTCTCGGAGCACACATAACTGCCCGCACTGCTGCATTCTGTACCAGCTGAAGCTTCCAGATACTCTTCAAGGGCAGCCCCATGTACAGCGCATTGCAATGGTCCAATCTGGAGGTGACTAGGGCATAAGTGACTGTAAGCAAGGCCTGCTGATCCAGGAATGGGTGCAACCGGTGCAGAAGACAAAGCTGTGCAAAGGCCCTCCTAGCCATGCCTGACATCTGCTCATTTTCCTCTTCCCTGCTTGTTTCAAGTCTGCTAAGAATGAAACTGGTCTTCCTCTTAATTTGTTCCCAGTTGTGTAGTTGGAGTGATATTTTAATATTTTCTCCAGTGCTTTGCACTTAATGAAGAATATAGGTAAAATGTTTAGCAGCATATCTACTACTGGCCATTTCTACCAGTAGATGTTTTCAGATGAGCCGCCATTTTTCATTTAATTAAAAGATTGATGCATCAAACTTTAAGCTGGTTCCTCATACTGACTGAAATCAAACATCATAGGTTAGATCTAGCTTCACCCAGAACTATAATGGAAGATATTGTAAACTTTCATTTTTTGTTTCAATTAGCCAATGTTTTAAGTAACTTCCAAACCTTAAGCTATGGTTAATCTAAACCATTACCACAAACTGACATTAAAATAGTTAAATAAAGCACAGATATTTGATTGTCTGATTGGGACAATATAATGTGCTATAATTACTAAAAAATGGAAGTGAACTTTTTAAAGTAAAAAAAGGAGAAGCATGGAAGCCCAAAGGGGGTTAAACTTGTTTCTGCCATTACAGACTATGTTTACTATGGTTTATTATGATGTCCCAATCACTTTATATACCTAATCATGTATATTATCCCTTTACAGCAGTGTTGTCCAAACTTGGCCACTTTAAGATGAGTGGACTTCAACTTCAAAACCCATGCTCGCTGGGGAATTCTGGGAGTTGAAATCCACTCATCTTAAAGTGACCAAGTTTGGACAACACTGCTTTACAGGCTTCCAAAAGCAGGTACCATTTCATATTGCACCAACTTTACTGAAATCTTGTTAAGATCTACAAGTGACAGATCAATTGCCTTTATTTCAGAATGCAGAATTTTTACTGAACATTCAAGAATGTTGATACTTATTTTAATCTCTCTCTCTCTCATTTAATAGGTCAGAAGAATAATGCCAGATAATACATTTTATTTTTCTATCCTGAGGGACCCGACATTACTGCTGGAATCCTCCTATGTCTATTTCAAGACTTTTTCACCAGCATTTAGAAACTCCAAGGATATTAATGAATTTCTGTCATCTCCTTGGTCATACTACAATTTGGCAGAAAAAAATAATATTTATGCTAAGAACAACATGTGGTTTGATTTTGGCTATGACAACAATGCAGAATATGATGAGCGTTATATCCATTTTGTCCTACAGAACATACAGGAGATTTTTCATTTAATACTGATTGCTGATTTTTTTGATGAGTCAATGATCCTTCTGAAGGATATTTTGTGTTGGGATCTGGATGATGTGATTTATTTCAAGCTGAATGCCAGGAGCCAATACAGTATTCAGGCTCTGAATCCAGAGAATAAGGAAAAAGTGAAAGAGTGGTGTGCTTTAGATTGGGAACTTTACAAATATTTCAATAATTCATTTTGGATTAAGATCCAGGAAAGAATGGACCTCAAAACACTGTACAAGGAAGTTGATCTTCTGCAGAAGAGACAAAAGGAACTGATGGAGACGTGCCTCTTGGAAGAAACTGCAATTGAGCACTATCAAATTAAAGATGAGAATATGAAGCCTTTTCAAGCAGGACATGCTAGTATCATGGGTTATAATCTCAGACAAGATTTAGACAATAAAACCCTGAACATCTGTAAAAAGATGATCATGCCAGAGCTCCAATATACAGCCCATCTATACAATTCCCAGTTCCCATTCAAAAAGAAAAAAACAACTGGTAAATGAGTTCCTTTAACAATACCATTTTTCTGTATTAGAACAAACTGAGGAGCAATTTGTAAGAAATTCAAGACTTTGCTTTTTCTTTAGCCAAAATACTCCAGATTAGACTCAATGCCTTTCATAGTCATAACTGAGATGGAAATTACATCATTCATATTAGTAGGAACATAAACATAGAGGTCTAGGTAAGCCATGAATGTGAAGGATATTGTGCTGTGGCACAATCTTAAAGAATGAAAGACTCTACTCCATTACCTTTTCTAATTATTGTAAACCATCATTACTGGCAGTATTTAGAGTTTTAATAAATAAATATTTAATAATATAAAGCATATGTGCATACGTGCTTATCACATTATTTTCTTTTGGGGTAAGTAACATTATACAATACAATCTTAAACTAAGTGGCAGTAGAAATCCTAGATCTTCCCATGTAGTACAGATAATTTCATTTCAAGATTACCAGCTTTCAACATCCTTTTATTGGTTTTAAGAGTCACTGCCTGTAGACACCCACCCTGATAGTTCTAATCTCACAGAAGTCTTAAGGGTCAACAATTATAAAGTTAGAACAGAACTTATAGAATCATTCTGATCACTCTCTAAATCCATTCACCATTTCAGAACTGTGTAAATACAGATTAAAGACAGATCTCTGACCATACATGGGCATAATCCCCTTCCAAACGAAGTGAACTGGATCATATCCACAGTTCTCAAATTTTCATACTATCATAGGATTAGAAGGTGCATCTAAGGCCATTGAGTTATGGAGGAGCAGCAGCCCATTTTAGCAATTGTGTCCAAACCCTTGCTCAATGCATATTAAAACATTTTTGACAAATGATAGTCTAACTTTCGCTTTTACACATCTATTGAAAAAGGTCCCTCCTCCCTTGATACTTGGTAGGACTGTGCATAGATTCAGATTTAAAGAGCAAAATGTGATTTAGGGGACATGTGGGTGTGCGTGTAGCATCTATCAGGAAACCTTAAACCAAATGTGTTGTTTCCTGTGATTGTGCATCTACTACAGAATGCAGCTGAGTGAAGTCACAAAAAGATGCAGCTTTTTAAAGGTGATCTTGACTGGTACTACATGCATGCCCACACATATTCCAAATCATAGTTTGTCATACAGATCCAAATCCCTTCACAGTGTTAACAATGAACTGTTCTTTTCTGAAATCAAGATATGTCTACAGCACTCCCACAATCTACTATGGAATAACTCAGTCAAAAACTGAGATAAGGTTGGTCTGCAAAACATGAAATTGATAAATCCATGGTAACCTCTGATAAGTCTGCAGATCTGTGGGTTAGATGACTATTACACAGTTCTAAGCCCTCTGTAATAATGAAAGATTCTCAGCATTTACTCCGCTGTTATTCCTGGTTAACCTGCCCTGCAGAGAAGCAAAGTTGCAGATGTTGTAGTAGGAGTGGATCCTTTTAACAATAGTTCAGACAGGTTTCCCACACAGCCTCAATATTTTTATTTATTAGCTTAAATATGAGTGACTAAGAAGAAAGAGAGGGGAATAGACTCTACCTTTTTAGATTATTTCTGCAAAATAATCAAAGCATGCCAATGTTGCTGTATCCTCTTTCCCAATCAGCTCCCAAACCTTCATTGTGGTCTGGTCAAGTCAAACAAGCAAACAAAAGCAAGTTTCCTTACAAGGATGCCCCCATCTTGGCAAGCATAGCATCCCAAAAATCTACTGCTGTCACTTACCTCCTGCATGCAACACAACTTTCTTTAAAGCCTAAAGGAACCTCTGCATCTAATAGTATTTAAATGAGACATGAGAAGGAACATTGAATTATTTCCTCTTCTGCTGTAGTCCTAAGAAATTCTCCTTACTGAAGCTGGTTATTTTCTTTGGGAGGAAATTTCCCATTGTTTCTAGTGATGTATTTGCTCCCCCCAAAAATAGCATCTTCAAAGAAGAGATTTCCCTTAGTAGGAAAAAAGATTAAATTTCTCCTGTCTATTACAATCACAATTTACTCACAATTTAGTCACACACAATAATACTCTCCTGATGCTATTTGCATTTTGCAAAACAATTTTGCCTTCTATATGATTGAGATAGACTTGATTCTTCATTTTTATGACAGTATCAACCTGAACATGTCTAAATACAGGTAGTACCCAGTTTAAGAATGAGTTTCATTCCCAAGGTCTATCCTTAAGTCAAATTTGTATAATACTGCATAAGTAGTATTGTGTAATGAACTCGAACCATTGTGTATTTAATTCAAATTTTGTTATAATAGGCTCCATTCTTAACTATGGGTCATCTGTAACCCAGGCATTCTTAATCCGGGGACTACCTGTAAGCAAAAGTGAACAATTCAAAGTGAAAAATCATACTGGTCCTATTCGCATGACAGGAATGACCCAGCCATCCCCTTGCCCAGTTAACTGACTCACCTCTCTATGTAGCAGCAGCCTATGACCTTGAAGGACTCAATCAGTCATCTGATAGCCATGTTTTGAGTATTCACAACTCAGCTGCAAAGGCAGCTGAGAAGTTGTCACTTCCCTGGTAGACAAAAGAAAAGTTCTGGTAGACAAATAAAAAAAAAAAACCACATTAGCACAATCAGAGTTGACAATACCATGGAAAGAAAGGTTCATTTTCCTCCTTTTTTTGCTGATTTTTTCACTTCCCTGTGTTGCTGGAAGGATGGGCGCTGGGAACCAAAATGACCCTTTGTTAGTCAAGTCGGTTTATGCTTTTTTAAGAGACAAAGATTATTTCCTGTTTCTTTCTCTCCCTTGTATTCTCCTCCCTTAAAGATGAGGTATAGGTAGAAATGAGGCTTTTCTATCTTATATTTTTAATTCATCTAGCTTTTTCTTCAAATTCAAAATAAATGTCTGCTATCATTGGTGGGCTATGTCCATACTGTGCATTTAAAAGCATTATTTTATGAGTGTTAACACATTTTTTAGGATGTTCTGCTACTTAATTATCCAGTATTCTTTCACCATTCTGCTTATGTCCAGAAGCATACTGTCTAACAAGGACCATGCTGAATTTAAATCTCCAACAGGATTACGGACCCAGAGTAGCCTCTAGACTGTGAGTTCCAGGATACAGCAGAGTAAAAGATTACAACATTAAGTGCAGAGAGATTGCAAAATTGGCAGAATTCTGTAAGAGTAGAGAGGCAATATAGTCACCTAGGAGTTTTATATATATACAGTATTTAGCAGCTGGATGGCATAGTGGTTAGAGCGCCACCCTTTGACGCGGGACAGGGTTCGAATCCTGGCTGGTACCTACCTTACCAGTAGAGGTCCTTGGGTAAAGACTCCCTAACACTTCACCTGCCTACCTCAAATACGAGAGTGACATGAACTAAGAGAGTCATGCTCGGACATTGCCCAGATTAATGAGGTCTGCATCAGATGGTGGGGAACCAGGACAATCTGACACTAAGTGGGCTACTGGAACATGGATGAGACAAGAGAACTTGGAATTCATGGAATGCTACTACAACAGTAGACTTAATGAGGGGGGATATATGAAACATATGAGGGAACTATGGATGGACAGAAGACCTACATCCATACTAATTGAGAGACACCTAGTTACCCAATGCTTCAACATAGTGGAAAGGAAGCTGCTCTCACAACTTGAGACAGACCAACTGCTCATTATATCCGGGACTCAAGAAGACCCAGAAGGACAGCTGGCTGTGCAGCCAACACCTGAAACTGGAATGTCACTGCCACCCCCTCCATTACAGAGCACAGCAGCTGATATGAGGCATAAGATCATGGATAAACTAGCTACAGTCAACCCTCAAGAC